AGTCCTTATTATTTGTCCTCTGCTTCGTCTCTGTCAGTCATTTTCTTTTTAAATTCAAATTTATCAGCGCCCTCTGTCATAAGTTTATGTTTTTATTAGGTACGGAAGTTGGAGTTCTTACTAGGTGAAGCCTTAGCAACTGGTTGCCAAGCAGTAATAACATGTGGTGGAGTTCAGTCAAACCATTGTCGCACAACAGCAGTTGCAGCTAAACAACTTAGTATTGAAACCCATCTTCTACTCAGGTCCAGGTCAGAGGTAAATACTTATAAGTGGCAGATTGAAGATGGAACCCTGGGGGGGGGGGGACTCAGCTGACCTGTGCCCCTTCATATTTTTTAAAGTTCTTTTTAAAGAATGGAGAAAACATAAAAGAAAATTGTATTCAAATTTAAGTGTAAGAGAGCCATTTCCAGTAATCAAGAGGTGCCACAATTATAGTTTTTCTGAGCTCTACGATGGTTGTTGGACCCTTGGTCTGTGAATGTCTTTCCCTGGACCCCTTTATTCTCAATTTGTTATGACATTCAGTGTAAAAATCGCCTGCTCTATCCACTGATCTAATTTGAGTCTAGAATTCTTACTATAGCCTCGACTTTTCCCACTTCATTAAAGCTGTGCTTATACTCACTGCCTATGCCCCACCAACTGCTCCCCAGGGCTCCCAAGTAAATAAATGAAAATAATAATAAAAAAGTATAAATCATTACTTAACTCATTCATCTCATATTTTCGATCATTCAGCAATTAATTTTGCATCTTTTATTGCATTGTTTTCATGGCAACATGTTACTGAACAGTTTGATGGGTGCATCCATGTACTTGGTTCCCATTAAAGCTCAAGAGAAGACCGACCTTGAGCCAAGAATGCAGCGACTTGCCGACAGACTACAATATTGTGAGTGGAAATACTACCATCTAATTTACAATCAAACAGGACTAGGGAGATTGGAAGCGCACAAAACATTAGTTAGCATTTTTATTTCCCAACCATAAAGGTGATTTGTATTTAATTGATCATTATCATGACATGGCAGGATTGCGTCAAACTTGTGATATCGCTACTTAAATAAGTTGAAATAGATAAACATGTACTTGGCGAAGGCTGTAAAATTCAATTGGCTAACTATAATTTTTTGAAATTAGGAAAAGCAATGTATGCAGACAATATTAAACACTTAATATACAAAAGGAATAAATCATTTATAGTAGAAATTGTTCACTTCTGAGTTTGTAAAAATGTTGCCCTAATAGGTTTACACGCTTTCAATTTCAACAACGTACAGTACTTTGTTTTCACAAAAAATTGATGGTTACTGAGATGGTTACAAAATGTAAAAACAACTGCGTTTTTACTCGATTTTTGTCTAGAAATACGCACTGCACTTGAAACAGTCACAAGTGAACAGACAAAATTCATGACAGTCATTCGCAATTGTTGTTGTACTTTCTACTCGCTTTGAAAAGTGGAGTTTTAACTATAGAAGATTTATAAAATGTGAGGGGGTACAATTGATATGATTCACCCCCACCCCCAACTTTGTAAAATCGGGGGATGTGTCACCCACTGTTAAATGCCATTGATTTGATGTGTCTTTGTGGGATCTGTTAAGCATATTCATATTTTTTTATTAAAACGTTGCCAAATATGTTATTTCCTTTTGTTTTTTTTTTTAGAGAGGAAAAGAGTATTAAAGCATATTCGATTCCTATTGGTGGGTCCAATGTTGTTGGTCTCCATGGTTACTTGTGTGGCTGGCAAGAACTCTTAGAACAGGTAAGTTGATTGGAGCAAACTAATATATTAAAACATGTGATTTTTCATCCAGCACAAATCTTAATATATCTATTATTATAGAGTACATATATATAAACAGTGTTTAATTTTGAGTAGTTTTGTAGCTTGTTGGTTGAGATGCTTGCCTGGTAATCCAGTGGTCCTAGGCTCTAATCATGCATGGATTAATTTAATGATTAAAACATTCCAGTCCCAAAGAGTTTAAATTGCGCCTATATGCATACATAGGAAATGAGAGTGCAACATTGCACCTGTATGCACATGTAGCAAATGCAAGTGTGATATTGCACCTGTATGCATATGTAGCAAGTGAGAGTGCAACATTGCACTGTATTCATATGAGCAAATGGGAGTGAAGAGAGGCAAATGTAAATAAGGTGTTTGCCCAAGGACACAAGCAATGGTACGAGTGTCGATCTCGAAAACTCCTAATCTCACGATCAGTAGTCCAACACGTTACACGATGCATCACTTGCTCCTTACAAGCATGCTTATGATGTTATTGATTGATTGATTGTTTTAATTGATTTTGTTCATTAATGATGTATTAATGTAATAATAGATTTAATTAATAAATTTAATTTGATTTATTGCTCAATTGGTTGTTTGATGATGTGGATATATTTTTTTATCATTTTGATTGATTGATTGATTGTTCAATTGATTGATTGATTGTTTTAGTGAGTGATTTGCTTAAGCCTTGTCCAGGCAATCTATGTATGGATAGATTTATTGATTAATAGAGATTAATTAATTGATTTATTATTTTAGGGAGTGACTGACAGGTTTGATGATGTCATACTAACTGTAGGCAGTGGTGGAACAGCAGCTGGTGTTGCTATTGGGAACTTCCTTACTGGATCCCATCTCAGGTATTTATTAAATTGATCTTTTTATTTGGTTAAAAACCTGCAGCTATTAAAACATAATGACTTAGTACACACACACATGTATGGAGTGAACTTAAGTGTACTAGGGTCAAAGTTTGACACTTAATCTTGACAGGGCTTAAGTCAGACGCTCTTAGTACGTTGTCCTTTAAATGCAGCTGATGTCTTTATTATTCCGCTAAAGGGAAACTCTTTTCTTACCATCACATTATA